TATATACATATGTATATCATATACATATGAATATGTATATGATATACATATGTATATATACAGTATATGTTGGTGTTCATATTGTGAACCGGGGGTGGGGTCTGCAGTTTTTCTCTCTTACCATGTACCTGTCAGCTTCTTCAGGGGTCTTCTGGGACAGCCAGAACCTAAAGACCTCCTTTAGGCCATGTGATGTCCACCAGTGGTCCACTCAGGACTAAACAGTGATGGTCTAAGTAACATATTGTTTGCAAGACAATTACAAATCCTATTTTTATTTTACAAAGAAAGAACTATAAGAATCATCACTACAAATTGCTATGGTCATCATTACTCATACATGATATATTTTTCTGGTATATATCTGCTGTTTTACATGATTGTTGAATGAAATTAACATTATTATTAATTTATTGTAAAAATAAAATAAAAAAGCTGATAGTTTGTGACACAGATCCAGTTGAGAAGATGCCCTGTTAGGTCACATTTCAGCTGCTCCTTGTTGTCACAGATGCCAACAGTAGACAGGCTAGGCGAGGCTCACTCTAGTGTTATTTATCTCTATGTTCAGGTGGCGCCGCCTGCTGGCAACCTTCAACATTACAGCTGCATGAAGCTGTGAAGGAGGACACTGAGGCTTTGTTCTGTGTAATAAAGGCTCTACATCCATCTTGAAATGTAACATTATTAATAAGTTATACAGTGTGATTCTACCATCGTAAACACTAGATAATGAAAACAGATGCTGTTAAGTGTAGAATATGAGTTAAAGCACAAAAATTACCCAATAAATAATGTTGGTCTGCATTATTAGTAAAATATCTCATCTGTATGGAAGAATTATCCTGACTTAATCCAAAAGTGTTTATTTTCAATTTGAGAGCATCCTGGGTGTACTTCAGCCTCACCTCCTGTTTTATATTGTTAAAAATCCTCAGCTGGTTCAGATGACTTCATTAAAATGACATCTACTAATTAACTTCAGGAAATACTCCAATTCAAGATGGCTGCCACAGCTTTATATTTGACTGAATGTGGAGTGGTAGTAGCTGAGAGGGATCTGTGTGCTGTTAACTGATGACAGACTGTGACAGTAAATGTTAGAATCAACTCTTCTTGTTGGTAAAATACAACAATAAGAGCTTATTTCTAAGGTTAATCATGAACAAGCTGTTTTAGACTCGGTACTGATGTGTATTTAAAGGATTATGTGTTAAAACAACAACTGCTCTGTGTTGCTCTGTGCTAATCACATTCTGCACCTCTTGCTTCGTCTGGATGAAGACCTGCTGAAGGTGCAGGAGTGAGAGAAACACTTGTCAGGTGCGAAAGAGACTAAAAACAGATCCGTCTTCACAGGCGCGCCTCCCTGCTCCAGCTCAACCTGCAGGAGCCTGCAGGAGCTGAGGTCCTGCGTGTGTTCGGAGCTTCAGCAGCAGAGGAGGTAAAAACAGAAGCTCTGTGGGAGGTTCTGAGGCCTCAACKTCTCAGCTTTGACAGACAGTTCAAAGGAATCAGCTGAGTTTTACATAACAGCAAGCTGCTGCAGAACTCCAGCATGTGTTGTTGAAGGATCAAATACAAAAAACATCAACAAGTCATCTCACTACAGCCATGTGCAGCTTTTTACTCTTAGAATTAACTAAGAAACCTCAGCTGGACAGACAGAGTGGTGTTCAAATAATATTTTATTCATCAAGCACTCCTGGTTTTAGCAGCTGTGAGCTGGCTTCATTTAGACTTTATGTTTTTATTTTCAGCTGGTTTTGGTTATGTTAAACAATTAAAAGTCAGCGTTTCATTGAAATCTGGTTGTTGAGATATTTTGCTAACAGACAGTGCTGTCATAGACTTCAAAGTATCAAGCAGGAAAAACGTCATATTAAGGTTATATTTTAAATGCTTTTATTTTGAAGGGGAGAAGGGGACTGGTCCAGAAGTATGACACAATATGAGTGCCAAAATTAAGACTATTGTGATACCAACATTTGCGTGTATACTGGACAGTTGCTACATCTTTGTAGTAGGAAGCTAGGTCTATTCCTAAACCAGCTGTTGGTCTGATTAATGATGGGCCAGCACCGCTAACTGAGAGGCAGGTGCTGGCAACTGAGGAGACTTTTCGTTTGCATTAGCATTGGAGAGGCTAGCAACTAGCATGGATAAGCTGGCATTAGTGTTGGAGAGGCTAGCAACTAGCATGGATAAGCTAGCGCTAGCATCACAGAGAATAGTGAATAGCATGAATTAGCTGGTGTTAGCATTGGAGAGGCTAGTGATAGCATGGATAAGCTGGCGCTAGCATCACAGAGATTAGTGAATAGCATGAATTAGCTGGTGTTAGCATCGGAGAGGCTAGCAATTAGCATGGATAAGCTGGTGTTAGCATTGGATATGCTAATGACTAGCATGGATATGCTTGCGTAAGCATCTAGAGAGGCTAGCAACTACCATGGATGAGCTGGCATTAGCATTTGAGAGGCTAACGACTAGCATGGACAAGCTGGCATTAGCATTGGAGAGGCTAGCAACTAGCATGGAAAAGCTGGCATTAGCATTTGAGAGGCTAACAACTAGCATGGACAAGCTGGCATTAGCATTGGAGAGGCTAGCGACTAGCATGGATAAGCTGGCATTAGCATCTAGAGAGGCTAGCAAATACCATATGTTGGAGGGACAGTGTGTGTGAAGGTGGCTCTCTGTCTGCAAAAACTAAAAGTTCAGCTGTTTTCTCACGGTTTAAACAACTGACTGGTCTCTAACAGGTGTGTTCTACTGATGGACACGCCCACCAGAAATGATGAAACAGAGGAACTCTGAGTCATTGGCTGGAGTTCTGAGCAGAGGGGACAAGCCTCCACCACAGATGACTACATCTAATGTGATATTAATGAGCTTTCTGTAGATCTTGAATAGTTGTTGTGACGTCTCTGTGGTAGTCTTGTAAAGGCTGCTGGACCAGAATGACGTCATCAGGTGAAGGCTCTTATTCTGCAGAAGTGTGCAGGGAACTGGAACCAGACTGGAACCAGCGAGGTTAGACATTTAAATGCACAGAGACAGTTTCCCATGGGTCAGAGCATTCCTGCTTTATTTCATTCTCTGTAAATCATGCCATTACAACACAGCCATGATAGTCGGCGGTAACACTCATCCGAGCACAAACAACTGTTATATGTTACAGGAAGATTCCACCGAAAAATAAATACAACTCTAAAGCAAACCCAGAGGGGAAATTTTCAGTCTCATGGATGGGACACGTGTTCAGGCACTTAGAAATGGTGGTCCTTGGCTACCGAGCTTCTATTTTACACACCGTCTTCATTCTGATGAGAAGGTTGTCTCTACAAGAAGGGTACGACACGTTCAACAACAACAACGAATTAAAGGGATTTCAAGTATTTCACAAAACAATGTTCGTATTTACATTTAATCTTTTCATTCATATCCATCTGAGAGCTTTTTTTACAATCTTTTGACCAGAAACAGCCTCTGACGATCATTTCATGATATAAATATATAATGTAGGTGAAACTCAGGAAACATTCTTGGATGTTTTTTTTTTTTCTTGTGTTTTCATGATGAGAAGGAAGTCATTAGAAAGGAGCTGGTGATGATTTTTCACCTCAGTCATTGCTGGAACCATTACTGCGCTCTGTGTTTTTAAAGTGAAATGATTGAGGCGAAGAAGCGTGACGTGAACAGGCCTGTTTGTAATGATCATTATTTCTCTCATCTCCTGGAGAGGAGTGGAATCCACAGGAACAGCAGTGACACAGRAGGACTTGAGTAATCACAAAACACCATCAAGAAGAGTTCATTTAAACTGACATTTAGTCTTGTGCTTTCTTCAGCTTGGTATATAAATATAAAAATCAACACCTGCTAAAGACAATTGAGACAAACAAACACTTTACACTTCAGAAGAGCAAATTTGAAAATGATAAAGTAGAACTAAAATTTTTAAAGTATTTTTCCAAAGACCTCAGTCAAACTTTACAATCAGTATTTGCAGAAATTGCTCAGTTATTATGAAGGAAGTTTACTTTTGGCAGTGTACAATTTTCTAGTCTTTACAACATGTGCACATCCACCAGCTACAAATCTGTAAACTACAACCATCCAGATTTCAAACCTGTTTGACCAGCAATGACGATTTTTGTACCAACTAGCCATGCTGACTGTCTCCTACTGGTGCAGACCAGTCAAACCTACTGGTACAAACTGGTCAAATCTACTGGTGGAAACCGGACTAACCTACTGGTGCAAAATGGTCAAACTTACTGGTGCAAAATGGTCAAACCTACTGGTGCAGACCACTCAAACCTACTGGATCAGACCAGTCAAACCTACTGGATCAGACCAGTCAAACCTACTGGTGCAGACCACTCAAACCTACTGGTGCAGACCACTCAAACCTACTGGATCAGACCAGTCAAACCTACTGGATCAGACCAGTCAAACCTACTGGATCAGACCAGTCAAACCTACTGGTACAGACTGGTCAAACCTACTGGAGCAGACCAGTCAAGTCTACTGGTACAGACCAGTCAAACCTACTGGATCAGACCGGTCAAACCTACTGGTACAGACTGGTCAAACCTACTGGAGCAGACCAGTCAAAACTACTAGTGCAAACCAGTAAAACCTACTGAATCAGACCAGTAAAACATACTGGTACAGACCAGTCAGGTTCACTGGTGCAAACCATTCAAATCTACTGGATCAGGGAAGTCAAACCTACTGGTATAGACATGTCAAGTTTACTGGTACAGACCAGTCAAATCGACTGGATCAGACCAGTCAAACCTACTGGTACAGACCAGTCAAGTTTACTGGTGCAAACCAATCAAACCTACTAGTGCAGACCATTCAAGTATACTGGTGCAAACCATTCAAGTATACTGGTGCAGACCGGTCAAGCCTACTGGTATAGACCAGTCAATTCTACTGGTACAGACCAGTCAAACCTACTGGTACAGACCAGTCAAACCTACTGGTACAGACCGGTCAAACCTACAGGTGCAGACCAGTCAAGTCTGCTGATGCAGACCAGTCAAACCTACTGGTGCAGACCAGTCAAGTTTACTGGTGCAAACCATTCAAGTCTACTGGTGCAGACCGGTCAAGCCTACTGGTACAGAGCAGTCAAGCCTACTGGTGAAGACCAGTCAAGTCTACTGGTGCAGACCAGTCAAACCTACTGGTACAGACCAGTCAAACCTACTGGTACAGACCAGTCAAACCTACTGGTACAGACCAGTCAAACCAACTGGTACAGACCGGTCAAACATACTGGTGCAGACCAGTCAAGTTTACTGGTGCAAACCAGTAAAACCTACTGGATCAGACCAGAACAACATACTGGTACAGACCAGTCAAGTTTACTGGTGCAAACCATTCAAATCTACTGGATCGGGGAAGTCAAACCTACTGGTACAGACATGTCAAGTTTACTGGTACAGACCAGTCAACTTTACTGGTGCAAACCAGTCAAACCTACTGGTACAGACCAGTCAAACATACAGGTGCAGACCAGTTAAGCCTACTTGTGCAGACCAGTCAAGTCTACTGGTACAGACCAGTGAAGTCTACTGGTGCAGACAAGTCAAGCTACTGGTACAGACCAGTCAAACCTACTGGTACAGACCAGTCAAACCTACTGGTACAGACCAGTCAAGTCTACTGGTACAGATCAGTCAAACCTATTGGTGCAGACCAGTCAAACCTACTGGTGCAGACCRGTCAAAGAATAAACAAGAATGTGAAAACAAATTAATTGTTTATTTTACAAAGCCAAAGTAATATAATCTGCTGCCATCTGCTGCTTAAGTTTTAAATGTTTTCTAATGCTCAGTATTTCTTTTCTTTGAAATATTTACTCTTCAGTGTTGACTTGCTGACATCTGTAATAAGTTTAGTTTTGTTGTGATCTTTGAAGGATGACAGAAATGTTTAACACAGTTAAACAGTAAACTGATTGTAGATGTGTTGCTGCATCAAAACACTAAATAACTTTTTCCCTAAGAGTGCTGCAGTTTCTTCTTTAAATATTCACCTTTACTATGATCCACTGGGTTTATGACATTTGAAAACCATTGCATTCTGTTTTATTTACATTTTAAACAACATCCCTGATCTGTCAAACTTGGAGTTTACTGCACATGGAACTCATTAGAACTGGTTAGAACTGGGTCATTTAAGAGAATTCAGGGTCACAATAAGGTCAGTCCAGTATGATATTCTCTGGGCATGACCCCAGTACTTATTGAACTTTTTGATTCCACTCTTTCATTGAGGTTACATCTGTTCTTTCCAAATCCTTCAAATCATTCTACCAAACAACTAGAACCTGATGAAAACCACAGTTTAGTATACAACAGCTGTCAATACAACATATGCATGATGGAGAGTCCTGTCTAGTAACCAGTTGAAACATTAGATGACCTAACTGGACTAGGAATGCACTGATACCAGCCTGATGACCAGAAACCCTAAGATTAACCTCACAGGTACCTAACTACCTGACCCTAAAACTAACCTAAACTCAATTCACCCCTTGGTCCTAAACCCAACCCCCAACCCACCAATGGCATTTAAACCACATGGGAACTCGACTTTTGTCCCCAAATGCACCAATTGTCCCCAAATGTTACCAAAAACAAACCCACACAGTCTAGTACTACCTTTATAAGGACATTGCATTGACTTACATTCCTTTCTACAGCCTAACCCTGACCCCATACCCCTAAAACCTAACCCCTGAACCATGGGTATTGCCCCCCATGAGGACTAGGCTTAGGTCCCCATAAGTACCAGTTGGTCCCCACAAGTAGAAGTGTATGCCAAAACTTGTCCCCACATAGTAAGGAACACTGCCCACACACATTCTGCTGGTTAAACAGGATCTGTTGGAAGAGAGGCGTGTGGCTGACGCTGTCACAACTGGACAGTAAATATTTGGACACGTTAATATTTCACCTCCACATTAAAGGTATTAAGGAACTGCTGAACCAGCCAATGAAAAGACACCAACAGGCTGAGCACGTCAGGTGGACTTAGTAAGATAAATGAACGGAAGGGGACCCTGGGAGTATCTGAGCACGAGCTTCCCAACAGCCTCACTGCTCAMTCACGGAACAATGAAGCTGTCATTTCAGGAGTATAAAGGGAAGCTCCTCTGATTGTCAAACATATTTTCAGGTTGTTAGGAGTGTAGAAGGATTTATTAGTACTTGGACTGGTGATCTGTAATCACAAGGACTCAAATGTCAGAACCAACAATGTTTAAGGACTGTGGGATCAGTGCCTTCCTAAACCATCTGTCCTGACAAAATGACCCGGTAGACATTTTTCAGCAGCAGTTGAAATGTATGAAAAAGAACAGATGACAGCGTCAGTTTATACGGGACAGGAAGTGGTTTGGACATCACACCAAGGAATTAAAACTCAAGTTCTTCTGTGTAAGCCTCCAACACATGAGCTAGATGATAAAAAGTCATTTATCATGAAAAATGGTCTTTCAGGAAGACGTTCCTAACATTTAGACCAATCACAGCGTGAGAAAAAGTAACCACATCCTGCAACATTAGAGCCCCTGAAAACTTTTAAACCATTTTCACACGCTGAAGTGCTCACTTGTCTGTTAGCTAAATATCTCAGGAAACACAGGACAGATTGGATATGCATCCACAACTGATAACTTCTGAAGTCAAACCAATTCAAGATGGCTGCCGCAGCTAAACATTAGCCTGGTGGTAGCTGAGAGTCTTTTACAACACATATGCTGAAGGCTAACATCACAGGGAATCACATCGAAGTTTTCAAAATGGAACTCTGCCATGAACTGTGCATTATTTCACAAGCCTTTCAACGATGGTTTAATTAAAATATGATCAGATTTACTMAATTTTTTATGTAGCAAAAACCTTTTAGATCCTGATGTGAAGAAACGGGAGAGAGTTGGTGTTTTCAAAGTGCAGATAGATATAAAATCATGTAATCTTAAATGTGATCTTAAATAGATCTTTACTTAAGAAGTTCAACGCTTGTTTACTTTGGTTCAGTGACTCAGTTCAGCTGGAACTGACTGAAGACCAAATCATTTCTGTTGTAACCAAAAAATAAAAAAAGRCAAAATCATAAAATACAGCTTTGACGTGAAACCAACACTGAAAAGTTTTTAAAGCGTTCAACTAAAAAAAAATACATTTAAAAACACAAAACTAAAAGCAATGAGCCCAACATAAAAACGCAGGACTGTCAAGAAAAACCTGTAAACAAGTGTTTATGGATACATTTCAAGTAGTGTTCAGACTTCCACGGACATTTCTTAATCTTTTATAAACAAATCACTTTGTTACAGAAAAACATCACTWTCCTTCCAGAAGTGGATGTATGGCAGCACACTGCAGAAACGATGGTAAAAATATAGAGTTTTTTGTTTTTACCTGTATTAAAAATCTTTCTGTATTAAGACAAGTTCAAGCAGGTTTGGGCTCYGAAGTGAGGGGTAAGAAAAACCTGTGTATTCAAATTAATTTTGTATTAATCATTACAGTTAGCACCTTGTTTGCTWAAGATTTTCTTTTTCAGAAGGAAAACTAAAAAGTCTTCAATTCCAAATAATAATCTGAAAACATGATGAAATAATTGTTTCTTTGACTGCTAATAAAAACAGTAAACACTGTGGAAGTACTGCACAGCCCTGTGCTCCAGTAAAAACCAAACAAGGAAATATTTGGGTCTGTACATTCTCTAAATGTACTGTAAACACTGCTGGGATACTTTGGGAATTAATACATTATTATTATAATTATTTTACAGATACTGAGTTGTTATCAAAAAGAAAGAAAACCACTGAATGCCTTGAGGAATGCTACATTAGAGTTGTAGTTGTCTTAAAAAATGACATCTTTTGTTCAATCACACTAAAACAACAGACCACAGATAATAAAAGAATGATATCTGATCCTAAAACATCGTTACGAGTCAGTAAGGTCAAAGTTACATAAGTTAGTAGTTCTAGACAATTTTCAAAACATTAACTTTTCTATTTATATCTTACTAAGAACCAAATTTGAAAATAAAATACAAAATCTACTACATTTTTCACAAAAATCTTGTCAACCCACACTGATAGGAAAACAAATACTATATCAGTTTTTCTATATTAAAGATCAGCCAAAAATAGTCTGAGACAAAATTTTCTTCAAATTCAAATGCTAATCACGAGAATGATCAAATAATCTGTTCTCTGTATGAACGACTTGGATTATCACCCTGCTGAGGGTTTCAGATAGTCCAACAGTCTCTGAAAGGGACTCACAGATCCAGACATGTCTCTCCTTCAGTACAAGATATGGTAGAAATACATAATACTGTACCAGGTACTTTACAGGTATGTATCCTGTACGTGTAAAACAACAAGTCACTTCATAATACAGGCTCATCCTCCTACATACCTGGTATATACCAAATATATACCCAGTACATACCTCATATATACCCGGTACATACCTCATATATACCCGGTACATACCTCATAAATACCCGGTACATACCTCAAGTATACCCGGTACATACCTCATGTATACCCGGTACATACCTCATGTATACCCGGTACAT